ATTTATATATTAATTATATTATATATATATTAATTATCTATTAATAATTATTAGTCGTAATTTATATATAATTAATATTTTAATTTATATTAAAAATAATAATATTTTTAATAATAATATTTTTAGTCATATATATATTATTATTAAAAAATAATAATATTTTTAGAATGTATTGTTATAATATAATATAAATTACTATTTTTTAATGGTTACTTATAATTGATTATGTTTTGGTAATATATTGCAGGCGCCAGTTGAGGATTTTGGAGGAGATAATGTTGATTATTGGCCTTTTTTCAGAACAGATGAGATAGTTGATAGTCTTCAAAAAGCTGTTAGCTATGCAGTCGGTATGGCAACTATCTGTGGTTTTTAACTAATTATTTTAAAGCACTCAAAGGGAAGAACATTGAGGATTCTGAAGTGTAACCGAGGGGAATGTTATCGAGGTAATAAAATATCCAATCTTGTTAATGCTGTCCTGAGAAAGTCGAAAACAAAATATACCGGATGCCTGTTTGAGACGAAATTGAAAAAAGTGGCCGGTACGAAAGTTTCCGTTAAATCAACTGAGTATTCTTTTTTTAAAAGAAAGTCTTTCTTGGAGTATATGTTTTCCTCTGGATGACCGGAAGGGATACCATAATCATCCGATGGTTTTGTATCCCGAGGGTCATCGACAGTTCAGCGGATTGAGTGAAAAGGCGAGACAGATCGTCCGTGACATGACAGCTGCCCAGGCAAGACCGGCGTTAATATCGGCAGCGATACAGGAGAAATACCCGTCTGACAACGCGATTCGTCAACAGGTTTACAACTATAGGGCTAAACTCCGATCAGAGAGTTTCGAGGGCAGAGATGTGACTTCCCAGCTTATGCATTTGGCTAGCCGGGCTAATTACATAGTTTTCGCCGATTCTGATAAGGACAAACACACCTTGACACGTGTGTTCATGTCGCATCCCCAGTCAGCCCTTCTCTTTCAGACATATTATAGGTACGTCGGTATAGATTCGACGTACAAAACCAACAGGTACGTTACTTTATAAATAACAATTTAGTACGAATCTTAATTATTATGTCTGAGTAGGTACGTTTTTTTATTCTTTGTTTGATTTTGTTGCCCTCATTTGCACAGGTACAAGAGGGATGACGCCGTGCAACAAGAATTTCTTGATTGCATATGCAATTGTGAAGGACGAGAGCCAGAACAGCTATGACTGGGTTCTGAAGCAGTTGAGAGATCTGATTGGGCCTGATGTACATCCTTCAGTCATTGTCACTAACAGGGAGATGGGGTTGATTAATCCTATTATGATTAATTTTCCGATGTCTGCCCATCTTCTTTGCACGTGGCACATCAACAAGGATGTGGTACAGAGGGTCTATAAAATCACCCACAAAAATAGTCAATTCGCCGAGATGTTCACGCGTGGTCGGTGGAAGAAGATCCTGGAAGCGAGCACGGTGGTCGAGTACGACACTGCCGTGAAGGACATGCAACTTCTGTACAAGAAGTTCCCTCTTGTTATACAGTACGTAGAAGATACGTGGTTAGTCCACAAGGAAAAAATTGTCAAAGCGTAGACGAATCACTTCCTGTATTTGGGTAACACCACGTCGTGTAGGGTGGAGAGTTCCCACAATGTGTTGAAGCAGTGGCTTAACACGTCTACCGGTTCTCTTGACACAGTGTGGGAGAAGGCTCACAAGGAGATTGAGTCCCAACACACTCAAATCAGGTACGTTAATTTATTAAGCTACACATATTTATTGTGCTATTCATGTATCTATATATTTATATTTTTTTTTTTTTTTGCAGTTTTATTATATAACAACTACTCCTAAGCAATCTAAAATCATATTAAATGGTATTATAATTTAATCATTTTTTCAAACTATTTATGTGATTTTTTTTATTTTTTTTTTGGTTTTAACTCATTAAACAAGTTAATTATAAATTCATTCATGCAATCTATTATCAGGACCATGCTGGAGGAGTGCCGGAACAAACGAAGTTACCATTCCACCGGATTTCTGTTCTCGCATCTAACACTGAGGGTCTCACATTATTGTTTGGAGTTATTGAACGAAGAGTATAAGAGGATGCGAGACTTGAGCGATGAGGTTACGACGCGCTGCAGGTGCGTACTCAGATGGACGCATGGACTTCCTTGTGCCTGTTACATGAGTATGACGTGCAATGCTAAGAACCCAATTACCACGGACGACATTCACGAGTTCTGGATAACACTTGAGGTGTCAGGTATAATTGTGATATTAAATTGAATGTTTTTTTTTTCATTTATTTTTTTTATACTTCACGTACTGTTTTTTTTATATATAATTTATATATAGGTTATGATGTTTAATGTTTTAAATTTGGTTGTACGAACAGATGCCCAGAGTAGTGCACGACCATCCACGAGTAGTGCACGACCATCCAAGAGTGGTGCACGGCCATCGACGGTTGGGTGGACAGACCTGTCGTGTTTTCGGAGCCTTGCGGAGGAGGTCGAAGAGGCCAATCCTGCGACCGTGCGTCATTTGAATCAGTACATTTACTCTCAGCTTCACCCTGACCAACAAGGTTATGGAGAACGTGAAGTGAAGGAAAACACGCAAGGTCGACCGAAAAAGAGAAATTCAACAAAACGTGATCCATGTGTCTGGGAGTACCGGGAAAGAGGTCGTCCGGTGGGCCGTATAAGCACTTCGTCACAAGCACCGACAAGCTCGTCTTCTCAGCGTTCAGAAGGACAGACAGGTTGAATTCTAATTTAATTTCTGTGTTTTAATCACTTCATCGAATTATGTTCATAAATAAATTCGATTATATATATATTCTGACGTGAAATGTTTGTGATATTATAGAGACGTTCTTGACAGACTTCTTCGGTTACCGGTATTGGAATGGCATTCCCTACATTGTGCACGACTACGTAAAGAGCTACTTGGATGTGACCGACGATGGGAACTGCGGATTTCGGGCAATTGCGAGCTATATATTTGGTGACCAGGAGAAGTACCGGTTGGTAAGACAAATTATTGCAAATGAGATTGCGGGGAACTTTCTGAGGTACGAGTCCATCTTCTTTGACGGGATCGACGCAACACTCAATCGAATACGCTGGGACGGGGGCCCTTGTGGCCGTAACCACTAGATGGAAACTATGTGTGACCTCTTTCCCGTTGCCACATTTTTTAATGCAATTGTCGTCTTGTTAGGCATGGGTGAGCATGGTGACAATCCCACCTTTTATAGTTCTACTGTACTGCCTCTCGTCGCACCATCGACGGCTACATATCCGGAGCGAGAGATCGTCTTGTGTCACCTTGGTCGTTACCCACACTACATTTGTGGTAATTTGATGCCCGGCCATCCAATACCGCCTATATGCCCTTTTTGGACGTCAATTCGAGATCGGTGGGTTATCGGTTGGGAGGATTACTACAGCAGTAGAATAGCTGGGTGGATCAGGATTCGTGATGCACCTAGGTCTTGATATTCTTATTATATTCAGTTGTGATTATTCGTTATTTTGAATTTATTTATTTCATTGACTTCGATTTTGAGTTGATGTATTTATTAATTATAATATAGTATAGCATATCGAAAATATAAAAACATAATGTGAATGAGTAACGACATATAAAAAAAAAATCAACCAAAAGTGGAGCGTACATGAAATAAAAAAAAATAATTCAACCAACAATCGACCCAACAGTAAATAAAAAAACAACTCAACCAATAACCGACCCAACAGTAAATAAAAAAAAAATCAAAAGTCGAGCGTACAGTAAATAAAAAAAAACAATAACATTATTTACATAAAACATCAACGCTGTGTCGCTCTCTCCCAGTCTGCCTTAACTACGGCCAGAGCGTCTACGTACTCCTTCGTCAATCAGGATCAACACGCTCGAACCGCGATATGTACGCAGAGTGGACGTCGTCGAAACGTTTGATCCACTATCCACAAATCGAAGAGTTACAATAACATTATAATGAAAGCACACATTGAGAACAAAAATAAAATAAATATACGACTTACGCAAGAAGCATCGACGCGCGAAGGGACTGGAGGAGGCTCAGTGGGATCGCCACCCAACAGCTTCGGACGAAAAACCCGAGCAAACCACTCGGAGTACCCCGGCTCGACCTCCCCTGGTGTAACTGTGGTGGGGGTGTAGGCAGCCAGACTGACGGCCGACAGCTGCGGGAACTCGTCCCAGGAATCCTCTGCAGCTTCTGCAGAGTGCTCGACCTTGTACAACCTAGACTCCCAAGCCCATACTACACTGGATGGCCGACGGATCTTGGGAGGGATACACTGGACGTAGCCCAGCTGACGCAAAAACTGCAGAGGATTGTAGGGCTCCACGATGTCGCGGTACCTAATGCGCCCGACATAGAGGGTCCTAGCCTCGATATCAGTGGGGTTGCGGCCGTACGGCAACCAGTTCACCTGTTCAAAATTGCACAAAAACATTTATTATAACACTCATATTTTTTAAAAAATAATATTTAACAAAATGTAAATAACACTTATAACATTCACGTACCTCGTCCACCCTGAGCTGGTCAAGGGCGACACGGTAACCCTAAAGGCGATCTGCGGACCTCTGAGTCACCACCGTGCTCCACCAGATAGAACGTGCGGGAGTGCCATCTACTGGCCGAGGCGCCTCGTGGGGGCGAAAGGGCAGGAAGTACTCGAAAATCCAGGTCTGCAGGAGAGCCAAACAGCCAGTCAGTCCCTTGGAGTCCCCCCTGCTGACAACACCTAACTGTCTGTATAGGTATGCCAGTGTAGCCGAGCCCCAGGAGTACTCCAGAACTTTAGCCGTGTCCTCGCGAATCTCGTGCATGACCTTCGGAATAATCCTGTTACCACTCTTGTCCGCGAACAAGGTGGTACCCATCGCCATCCACAGCCATGCGGCTGCCTCCTGGTCAGCCGGCCGAGACTCGTCCAGCCCCTTGAATGCGCCTGAAACGGCGGCAGTGGTCACCGCGCCGTGATCCCAGTAGCTATCTATCAGCTCTCTCTGGTCCACCCCGAGCATCTCCATGCAGTACGCACGGAGTCTCTCAGAGGTCGGGTCCCCTGCCACTACACGTCCCTCCACGGGAATCCCCAAAATGGCCCGAACATCGTGCAGCATTATACTCATTTCACCAAAAGGCAGGTGAAACGAGTTAGTATCGGGCTGCCAGCGCTCCACGAATGCAGAAAGTAGTGGAGTGTCCAGGTGCGCATGCATAGAGTCCGCTAGATGTGACAGCCCCGACTGATCTATCAAAGCACGTAGCTCGGGATCCATCTCGGCGAGCCACTCCTTCAAAGTGTCGTGCGCTCCATGCCTGTTTTGGCATTTCAATATCCCTCTACAATGCCGGTATGGCTCAGGCAACATCATACGGGAGGCCACGTGCCCTAGAAAGCTAGGGATAACACTCCCGTCACTGGGGCCACCGGGTACTGGGGCTTTAACGATCCAAGACTCATCACCCTTAGCCCGTTTGCTACTCGAACCTGCATTTACAAGACAACAAATAAGTATAGATATATACACGTCATATTGTGACTGATTGTTTAGTTAATTAAAAGATATTTTTTTAATAAACTATAAATAACTAATTATTCCATTAACGCTCAAATATAAATGTAGTAGTCATTGATTTTATTTTAAAATTATACTAATAAATTAAGAACAAAATATAGTAGTAAGTGATTTTATTTTTAATTATACTAATAACTTAAAAAGAAAAAATATAAATTTTTATGAATAGTAAAATTTTTAGGAAAATCATATCCTATTGTAGATTTGATAGTTAAAAATAAAATCACCTTGTTAGATGAAATGAAAATAAATTTTAAGTTATGTTATATGTGTGCATTATAGTATTGTAAGTTAGGAATAAATTTTTTTATATTTACCAAGGGAATAAATCCTTTTATGTTGCTAAGACAAGACAATATTTATTTTGAATTTGTTTAAATATTATTAAATTAATTACATAACTAA